AAGCTGGGAATCTCCCTGGACTCTTTGCAAAGAGTGTGGACACAGCAGATCAACCATGAGTTTCTTCAAAGCTGTCAAACTGAGTGGTGTTTGGAACAAAAAAATAAAAACAGAAAAACTAGTGTTCTTCTTCTGACCCATTTGGATTAAAACCAGGATTTCAGATCTTGCTTCACAAAAATTTAGTCTCAATCCAAGGCTGCAGCAAACCCAGCTGAATTGACCCACCAATGGTTTAGACTGCAGGATCTCCTGGAGCATTTTGTGGCTCCTGCACAAACAACTACTCATCTTTGTGCTCCAGGGAAAGCAGAACCTGAGGCAAGGATGCTAAATTTTGTCCAGGGCTCACCTCAGTATTGTTGCAAAAGGAGTCACAGTGTACAGTGAGGACACCTGTGGAGCAGAGAGGCTCTCGAGGACACTGGAGTTGTTCAGTAAAACCAATGTGTGTTGTACCTGGAAATGGGAAAACTTTACAAGCTCTGAATGGTTTGATATTTCATACTGATAACAAGCACACCTGGTGCCTGATAAATCAAATAGCTCCTGTGGTCAGGTGCCCTCCTCTTCAATGGGACAAACCAGATTGTGCCAGATGGTTTCTCCATCTCCCTCTTTCTCTCAGCAAGCTGACTTAATTATGATTAGTGCTGTGCCACCTATGCATTAAGTCCCTTCAGCTTCTATACACAGGGGGTTAATGCACGGATAAGCATTAAGATAATGTGTACATTCAGGTAACAATGAAGTCACTCATGTTGCAGGCCACCTTGCCCTACTTTTGTACCAAACTGTGTCACACTAACAGCAGTTGCATTGCGACAAGCTAACAATAACCAAACAATCCTATACATCAGCAAGGGATTCTCCACACCTGCGACTACTCCAAAAAAACCCAAGGTTTAAAACCTCACCCTGCCCAGAGGTGAGTGATGAGGAAGCTCATGGATTCACCACTTCATAAATCAAGTTATGCAAAGCATGTTGCAATAAGCCTACTTTTTCCTCCCATACTTTTCAGCATTGCTATTTTAGACTGCAGTTTCCTGTGTGTTTTAATAAAATCCAGTTTTCATCCAAGTATAACTTGATGAAGATGACAAGAAAAATGAATCATGCTCAAGCATCAATACCAATGCTACATTCACCATTTCCTATATGACATAAAAAGGAAAAGAAAAGAAAATTTCTATCAAATACCATTACATGTATTTGGTTAAATACATTGTATAATAATCTGCTGTATTGATTAATGAAAATACATTCCAACTTTAATGCAAGGATATTTCTACCTTGAAAGTCAACATATTACCTATGAATGAGAAGCAGCATGACAAAAACAATTAAAAGAATAGAGAGAAAAGAAGGGTAAATTGTGAATTTAAATCAAGGCTTGCTGCTTGCTGATTTGTACTATGATCTTTAAATCTGTGTATCTGTCTAGATTTTTCTATTTGTTTTTATTACAAACATTTGAATGCTCAGACCTTACAAAGGAAAATCCCATAATGCCCACACTGCGTCCTGTGGAGTATTGAGGCTCGTAAACAGATTGCCAGATGAAGGCGAAGATTAAAAGATAGCAAAGGGCTGCCAGGCTGGAAGCCTGAATTAAATCCATTAAGGTGTATTTGAATAGGCAGATAAGTAAGGAACAGCAAGCTGGGCTGATGAGTTTCTTCAGAGAGAAGAAACCACGGCGGGAGTTGCCACGCATGGCAAAGCTCAGGCCACCTGCTACTCACCTCCAGAGACTATTGAAGTCCTGTTGGGAGTTCACCCATCAAGGGATGTCCTGCTGTGATAAATCAAACTAAAGTGACAAGGGAGTTCTTCAGCCATAATAATGGCTTAAGAATAATCATTTAATAAAGTAAGGGAAGAGTCACACGTGGAAGTGTAAATACCCTGCACACTTGTTCAACCTGTTGCTAAAGAGCTGTTGAAGTAGATATGGAGAAAGCAAAATGAAAGAAAGACGGAGGGATTTCAGAGTCTATTGACCTGCTCCCTAGGTCCTGAGGGTGGCTTCCCATCTGCTCTAGCAACATAATTAAACGTTTGTGAACTAATGACAGTATGTGGCTTTTGTCACCAAAAGAACAGACAGTGGTAAACAAAACCCTATTTACAAGAGGTAAGGAGGAGGGAAATGTGACTCTGATGTTGAAATTAGAGATAAACAAAATCACACCACTTAGCTAAAGAGCCTGTCTAGACAGAGGAAGAACAAAAACAAACTACAAAAGCTCGATGTTATTCTTGTGAGAGAGGGAAAAATTATTTTGTAGCTAGGCAAAAGTCATCACACTGAAGAATGTCAAGACTACAATGCTGAGATCACTGAATATTACCTATTTTACACTACAGAATAAGATAATCAAACCAGAGCAAGGCCTTCTTAATTTTGAAGAACCTGGCAAGAATCAAGAGTACAAACATCTTAGGAAATCAGTGAGAAAACCAACCAAACAAATTTTGATCCTAGAAGTGCAAGAGCTGCAAGCATACACTGAGGCTTCACCTGCATGGTAGATCTACTCTGCTGCGCCTACATCAGTAAAACTTAATTTAAAAGAAAGTGATTATAATTATTCCACTGTGAAATCCTGTTCTGAAGTAAGTTGTCCACAGGAAGAGTTGTTCCAGAAAGGGCAGGATGGAACAAAAACTCTGAGACACTCATGCCAAACAACTTTCCCACCAACACAGCCCTAGAGAGGAGAGTGTGTTTAAAGGTAAAACAAGTAACATCCTTCAACAACAGTAGGATTTCTTTATTCCAGCAGTGAATCTGAACCGCTCTGAACTGAGAATTTTTATGTCATTTTCTAACTAGCATAATTGTTACAGCAAATTTAAAATCACAGATTATCTACAATGCATCTTCTAGGTAAATGATGAAATTCTGTCTTGAAATGTCTCAGTGACTGCAGATGACCAGGACTTTTCTCTTTTTGTGGGATGAGCTGGGAGAAGGCAGATAGCACACGTACAACCAGATGCTGCTCTCTGCTGAACAGGCACTTCTGAAAAGTGAGTCAAGGATTTGGCAGAGCAAAACGATTGTGGATGAATAAAATGGCAGGGAGCAGGAGAGCAGCTATGCATGCAGGGCCCTAAGTAATCCACAGAGTCTGAATACCCAGGAATACAAGGAATTAAAGGTGGAGAGGCAGGATCAGGACTGTCAAATGGAGCAGATAGTGGCTTCTAGGCAGCTGGGAGATTAATTCCTTTTAAACATAAAAGTCAGCAGATAACCAAGGTTTTGACCAATGTAACATCAGAGTGAATCTTGCAATGTCCTAATTATTTTTGGTTGGTTTTACAGTGGGTTGCTGTTCTAAGACATCACTGCTGCTTCATCCATGAGATTGCTGGTAGGGGTGCAAACCATTGAAGGCAAGTGGTCCCTGGCTCCCTTTGAACAGTTAAGTTTTCATCATTACCATAATCATCTACTTCCTCATATGCCTGCTGCTCATTGAGGTCTGTCCTGCCAGTCAGGGGCAAAGGATGAAGGCACAGGAGGATGAGGATGATTGGCAATTCTGGGTATCAAATGGCTGTGGAGGGAACACTAACATAAAGGGTAGAGAAGAGGTGGACAGCGGGGACCTGCTGTACAGTGTTCCTGGCCTGTAGTCTAGAAGCAATGAACCCCTTAAAGGATAGGATGTCCTTATGGATATCTGTGAATTGGTCTTATCCCAGCTCTGTCATAGACTCATTAACTTAAACTTCCTGGGTCTTGGGGTTGTGTTTTTTCCAATCCACAACATATGAGTGTGTGGAAACAAGGGGCTATGAAACATTCATATTACTACCATTAATTTATTAATTTATTTCAGAGCTACCTGTCAAAAGAGGTTTGGCCAGCAGGGCAATGAAGGTGATTCTCCCCCTCTACTCTGCCCTCTTGAGACCCCACTCAGAGTGTGGAGTCTGGGGTCCCCAGAACAAGAAAGATGTGGAGTTGTTGAAGTCCAGAGGAGACCATGAAGATGCTTAAAGGGCAGGAGCACCTCTCCTACAAAGGCAGGCTGAGAGGGCTGGGATTATTCAACCCAGAGGAGAGAAGGCTCCATGGAGACCTTAGAGCACCTTCCAGTACCTGAAGGGGGCTACAGGAGAGCTGGAGAGGGACTTTTACAAGGGCATATAGTGACAGGACAAAGGTGAATGGATTTAAACAGAAAGAGGGTATGTTTAAATTCGATAATAGGAAAAAACTTTTCACCCTGAGGGTGGTGAGGCACTGGCAGAGGTTGCCCAGAGAAGCTGTGGCTGCCCCATCCCTGGAAGTGTTCAAAACCAGGTCGGGTGGGGCTCTGAGCAACCTGCTCTCATAGCAGGTATCCCTGCCTACGGTGGGGGTTGAAAGGGATGGAATTTCAGGTTCCTTCCAAACCACTCCATTCCATGATTCCATGATCTCAGTGTTTGGCCTGCTCCACTTCCACCTGCGTGCTTGCCCACTTCACCAGACCTGAAATTGTGAAATCTCTCTGGAAATCGTATCTCACATTTCTTGGGGGTTGGTTTGATTTTTTTCCTTTTCTATAAAATGTTCTGCTAGGTTCTAGACACCAGTAGGCGCTATAAGGTCTCCCCGGAGCCTTCTCCAGGATGGACAGTAGCAGCAGCTTTCCCTCGGTTCCCTGAGGGGAGGCGCGGGGCAGACACTCTCCCAGCCGGAGCGACCCAGGCCCGACGGGGGCGGCCCTGTCCCGGTCGGAGCGGCCCTGTCCCGGCGGGGGCGGCCCTGTCCCGGTCGGAGCGGCCCTGTCCCGGCGGGGGCGGCCCTGTCCCGGTCGGAGCGCCCCTGCCCCGGCGGGGGCGGCCCTGTCCCGGCGGGGGCAGCCCTGTGGGGCTGCGCCGCCGCGGGAAGCGAGGAGCGCGCTCCAGGGGCGGAGGAGCGCTGACCGCGGGCCGCGCGCGCATGCGCAGGCTCCGGGACTTGTTGCCGGCGCTCGTAACGCCGTGGCCGGGACTGCTCGTGAGGTGACGAAGCGAGAGGGCAAGGGAGGGAAAGGCAGAGAAGGGAAGGGAGGGGGTAGGAGAAGCCGCCTCTGCGCAGGTAAGGGTGGGCGGGAGCGGCGCCGTGCGGGGCCGCGGGGAGGGGAGCGGTGAGGCGAGCGCGGCCCCCCCTCTCGCCGGGACCCCCGCCTCAGCGGGTCGGGGCGGGCAGCGCCGGGAGCAGCGTCCCCTCCCCGCAGGGAGCTGAGCCAGCCCACCCTGCTCTGGAGCGGAGGGACCCGCTCCCTGCGTCAGGGGCGAGCCTGGCGCTTTCCAATGTGCTCCTGGGGAAGCCGGCCCCGCCCGCCGTGGCTCCTGGTCCCTGCCGGAGCCGGGAGCGCAGCCGGGCTCCCAGCGCCACGCGGGAGCCGGCTCCCATTTCTGGAGCCCGGTGCTTCCTGGGTTCCTGCGGCGCAGCCCCACCCGTGGGAGATCTTCCCCTGCCCTTTATCTTCCTGGCAGCTGGCTTGTTTAAAAAGAACAGCTTTGGAGAGTTGGAAGCAGCGTCTGATAAACTCCAGTGTGTTGCTTAGAGTTTAGAGTGCAGGCTTGTGCTGAAGATTCCCGAAGGCTCTTCAAATGTGCTTTATTTTCCGTCAGCACTAAATTTCAGTACGTAGAAAGCAAGGATAGAGTCACGGCACAACTTCTGTGGGCGTCGTTGGGTGGTTTTTTTCTTTCTTTTTTTTTTTTTTTCTTTCTTCCCTGTGATTAAACACATCAGCTGACACAAAATTTCTTCCTCTCCGTGTCACGCTGTCCAACATTTAGCAAATGCTGTTATGGGAGGAGAATTCTCCATGCTGTTTTCCCGCTGCTTAAAAGGAGAATATGTAGTTATTTGTATTTTTTTGTTTGTTTTTTGTTTCATTTTCAGCATCCAGAGTAGTGCTGTCATCAGAGACATGTGCATGCCTCTAAGAGGCACGACATCCCAAAAGTAGTGTCCCTGGACCTGTGTGATGAGGACCTACAATATTTGCTTTTGAAGAATTTTTTTTTCCAGGGAGTGGTTTCTTTGTGAATTTATCAGTCAGAAGTGTGTTCTGCATGAAGCAGAAGTACTTGGGAATCAGCAAGTTAGTAAGATCCATGAAAGGAAATGTTTGAAGTGGAAAGCCCCAAAATAAACGAGCAATTGCCTGCACTGATAAAAAGAACTTTGTATCAATAGCCAAATCTCGTGTGTTCTTGTATGGTGCTACATTATCTGATCAGGTCAGTTGACTAAAATGAAGTAGATATCTGTTCTCTGAGAAGCTCTTTGTTTTTTCTTGTTTATGACATATGATAATTTCTGGGCCTTTCAGTTGAATTATTTTGAAAAAGGAAATTCCCACAATATCCCAAGAAGAGAAAGGAGTGTATGTATTTGTGTAGTAGTTCTTTTCTGTGGAATTAATGGTGAATTTGTTAATGATCTCAAGATTGTGACATTTAAATACGAAGTTCACAAGCTGGAGTGTTCACACATGCTCATCAACTAGGAACAAAGTCTTCAACCTGCTGTTGTTGGAATATGTAATGCCCTGTGTGATTCCTAGAATCACAGTCCAGGCTGGAATATGTAGTTTGATGTTATAGATTAAATTATAGGGAAGGTTTTTTTTTTGGGTGGGGTCTTCTGTAGATCTCTGTAGAGTTCACTAGATGTCTGGAATTCTTGTCTGGGCACTGCTGCTAGCTGAACCTGCCAGTTATTGCAAAATATTTCACATGTGAAGGGAAGAGATTGCCAAAGGCACCTTCTTTTCCACAGCAGTTTTCTGATTGCATCTTCCTGCACTTTTTATACTTGTAAATTAGTATAGCTCACAAATACCAACCAGGCTTTTCACAAGTTGGTTTCACCTTTTCATATTTTTTTTTTTTTTTTTTTTTTTTTTTTTTT